CTCTCAAGTAAAGTGGTCGAACAAATGGACCTCGGTTCTTATTTACTGATCAAATCAAGGATGGCAGCGCAGGATTTTTGATTATTGTGTTGCTTGATTTAATCAATGCTTATTGGAACATTCAAACAGTTTGCCTTCTTTACTTTATATAATCTGCATTCAAATTCACTTTCTACTCCAACCAGTACTCTTTACTGACAGAGACGTAGAGATAAATGCACCTAACACCTACGAGGGGCGTTCAATAAGTTTTGCAACTTCAATATAAGACCAAGTCGCAGAATATCTTTTATTTTTCAATATAAACTCCATTCACCTCAATACACTTATTCCATTTGTCCTTCAAGCTTTTAATACCACTTTTATAGAAATCCGTAGATTGGCCCTCTAACCACGCCTCTGTGGCAGCCTTTATGTCCTCGCCATCCTGCAAGCGTCCTCCACATAGGGCAGATTTCATTTGCCGGAACAGGAAATAGTCACTGGGGGCTAAGTCTGGGCTGTAGGGTAGGTGATTTAACTGTTTTTAACTCTGCGACTTGGCCTCATATTGAAGTTGCAAAACTTATTTTGAACGCCCCTCGTACTTAAAATAATTTAAAGTGCGTGATTAGAAATATCACATATCACTCTCCATCACATCGCTATTCATTAAAGTATTTCGATTTGAGGTGTGTATGTTTATCTGAAGTGCTATTGGTCATGTTTGGAGTGAGTATGTTCATTTAAGAAACTTATGTTCATCTGGGGTGCTTGTGGTCATCTGTGAGATGTGTATGTTCATCCGAGGTGCTGTATTCATCGGATGTGCTTATGTTCATCTGTGTGTACTTATGTTAATCTGTTGTGCTTATGTTTATCCGAGGTGCCCATGTTTCTCCGAGGTGCTTTTGTTTATCCGAAGTGTTTATGGTCATGTTCATCCGAGTTGCTCATTTCATCCCATGTGGGGGGCACGGGTGGCCCAGTCGTCTAAGGTTCCGCCATTCGCTGTGTAGAGTTGCGTCCCTTGGGCACGCCAGAAACCTATGATTGTGGGTTCGAATCCCGATTCGCCCCGATTATGTTTCTAGGTTTGTGGGTTTGACCGAAGTGGTAAACGTCTGAGACCTGCATCACTTCGGGCTTTCCTCCCACATTAAGCTGACACGCCGTGATATAACTGAAATAGTGTTAAAAGCGGCGTTAAACCCAACTCACTCACTCATCCCGTGTGCTTATGCTAATCTGTGGTGCTTATGTTCATCAGACCAGCATTACACCCCTTACCGGGTTGTATGGCTTATCAATGCATATGGAAAAGGCGACTATGCTTGTCGTAAGAGGCGACTAACTGGATCGGGTGGTCAGACTCCCTGACCACCGTCACGTAGCTGTAATATTGCTGAGTGCGGCATTAAACAACAAAGAAACAAACCAATAATTTGTGCTCATATACCACTGAGGATTATCGAATCTTTTGAATGGGCGATCGATAACAGCCCGGATGGTAAGATATTGGAGTTACGTCCCTTAGTGCGTGGTCTGCTCTGCTTTCCCTTGACATTATCAAAATGTATAATAACTGCATTCATTTTACAATTTGATGTTATAGAATATGATAAAAAAAAGTTATTGTATAGCAGTTTTCATATCAGACCCCATATCAGCCCGAGGATGATATGGGGGTCTCGGGTTGATTAGTGGTGTGATATGACACCTGCTTTATAATAACCTCAAAGTATTATAGTTACTAGTATATGTTTCATATGTTTGAACCAATAATTGCTTGTCCCAAGTTATCTTCAGCGTGGTGCTGACATGAATCAACTGAGTTTACAGAAGAAGTTTAAGTTGTGTTATCCATTTGATTTATTCAAACTATTATTTTTTGTGTAAAGCTTATATACTTTTCTTATTCATAAATCATATTAGTCGCTCCAGATAAATTGCCAATGCGACGTTAAATTATAACTCACCCTTGACAGCTACATGACATCAACCAATGGCACATTTGCAAGAGATGGATAACTATGACGTTGAATATTGTCACTTATAGAACTATATGTATGAATAATAAAAAAACATGGCTTACATAAACCGTAAGGGACCGGATATCGTGAATTTACCCTGTGTGTGTAATGTTCGTTCAAAGTTTTTAGTGACTTGATGAATGACTACAGTTTGACCTCACTCATCCCCCCACCCCCACCCTCACCCCCAGCCTCTACACTGTTATATTTCCAGTCCAAAGTCTCGACATCAATGTCTAGACACACCAGGCTTGATATTATTCATCCACGACACCAATTCCGTTTTGAGTATGACTTCACCGGTGTTACGTACATCGACTAAAAATGCTGAATAGTTCGTCACGTACTGCTATTCAGTTTGAGCTCACCCCAACCAACAGTAAACGTGAGTAAATGTCACGATGCTTTCCCTGTCATGGTATTTTGCAAACTTATATGTACTACACAAAAGAAGTAAAAGAACACCCGATGTTTTCATATAACTATAGATAATTTGTCGTGGCTAGTGGGTATTGCAACACACAGCCTTCTCATTGTGGGTGTTCTTTATGTTGTATTGAGTTGCATGTTTGTGACACCCCCGAAGCCATAAGGTCGACCGTAAACTGGAAGGTTAGGTTAGTTTCTGAATATATATCATTTTGATAGAAAGAAACAACTCGATTTAAATTTAACAAGGAGGCCAATGAGATGGGACATTCAGATTCCTGAACCTGTGGAACATCTAGACTTGCTTCATTTTAAGCTATAGTTTACAGTAAGGGCTTGGCTGAAGGGAACCTAATATCAGGGACGGTAAGACAGGCTACCGTATTTCCTCTATTAGACGCTCGGGCTTCTATTTATTTCGGACAAGCCTTTGACCCGGCGTCAATTAGAGGTCCGGCGTCTATTAATACCCCCATTTCACTATGACCACGAATGTCCCGAATCTTCACGAAATGGAAATATTTTGTGTTCGTAGATATCCGTAGATATATCTCAAACAATTCTCGACCCGGCGTCTATTAGAGGCCCGGCTTCTATTTTTTGCACTGAACAATTGACCCGGCTTCTATTAGAGGCCCGGCGTCTAATAGAGGAAATATTGTTTGGTATGGCATTTGTTTGCTTCCACTAACTAGAGTCAGAGTTTGAGACAAGGCGACTGATGACACCAACACGGAGTGAGTGAGTGAGTTGGGTTTAATGACGCGTTGAACAGTATTCCCGTTTTATCACGGCATTTCTCGGCGTGTCTCCGGCGCGTTTACCACTTGTTGAAACCCGCGACCACAGGTTTGGTGCTGACAAACCTAGAAACATAATCAGAGCGAACCGGGAACCTTCGACAATAGGTTTCAGGCGTGCCTAAGGGACACAGCTCTTCACAGCCCTGCACGACCTCCACCCCACCCATCTACCAGGATTTCACACACAAGGGACGCTGCATGGTAGCTATTAGTTTCGGGAATCTACTCATTGATAAAAATCTGGTTCTGAATAAGAAGCCGCCGACCTTGCCTCTCTCTCTGCCCTCTGTCGGGATTCCTGTTTTTTTGTTTGTTTGTTTGTTGTTTAACGCCGCACTTAGCAATATTCCAGCTATATGGTCTGTAAATAATCGAGTCTGGACCAGACAATCCAGTGATTGATATCATGAGTACGATCCACGCAATTGGGATACGATGCCATGCGTCAACCAAGTCAGCGAGCCTGACCACCCGATCCCGTTAGTCGCCTTTTACGACAAGCATAGTCGCCTTTTACGGCAAGCATGGGTTGCTGAAGACCTATTCTACCCCGGATCTTCACAGGACCCAGTCAATTGGGATCGATGACATGCATCAACCAAGTCAGCGAGCATGACCACCCGATCCCGTTAGTCGCCTCTTACAACAAGCATAGTCACCTTTTACGGCAGGGATTCCTGGTAAGATATCACACTCACTAACACAATGATGATCCGGTGTCACGTCACAAACAAACACTTACACGTTGATGCAAGTTGTGTGATTGGCGGGTGATACAGGTGCACAGGGCATGCTTTCGATTTTCGCGAACACCTGGTGTTATCACTGACTTCAAGTGATCCATTCATAATTTGTTCACCTCTATTTTGCCTGGAATCAGTTTAGGCGGATAATCGAGACTGGTTATTCTCTGTCTTTGACGTTCTGTATTAACAAGGTGTGCCTGATTGGGTGTCATCGTGCCCCGACGGCGTGGCTTGATGCTCATGCATTCAACCACTGGTTTTCCTGTCCCAGTCTCGACACGGACGACCGCGATACAACTAGAAAATATTACTGATTGCGGATAAAAATACATTCACTCACTCATATGCATTCAACAATTGAGCTTTCATTCAAACAAAATAGACCCGTGAAGGTCTGGAGTAGACCCGTGCTTCCTGTAAAAGGAGGGCGGTCGGGTAGCCTCGTGGTTAAAGCGTTCGCTCGTCACGCCGAAGACCCGGGTTCGATTCCCGACATGGGTACAATGTGTGAAGCCCATTTCTGGTGTTCCCCGCCGTGATATTGCTGGAATAGTGCTAAAAGCGGCGTAAAACCTCACTCACTCACTCCTGTAAAAGGCGACTATGCTTGTCGTAAGAGGCGACTAACGGGATCGGGTGGTCAGGCCTGCTGACTTGCCAATTGCGTGGATCGATGCTCATGATTTCAATCCCTGGATTGTCTGGTCCAGGCTCGATTATTTACAGCCAACCGTCATATAGCTGTAATAATGCCGGATGCGGCGTTAAACAACAAACAAACAAACAAACAAACAAACAAAATAGTTTTTGAGGAACTTAAAACTTACCATAAATGACATGCCCGGGTCTAGTCTTTCTGTATATTTGGGGCGGTGGGGTAGCCTAGTTCACTCGTCTGGCCGAAGGCCGTGTTCGATTCCCCACATGGGTACAATGTGTGAAGCCCATTTCTGGTGTCCCCTGCCGTGGCATTGCTGGAATATTGCTAAAAGCGTCATCAAACAACACTCAGTCACTTCTCTATACTCAGACACCAGCAACTTCAGTGTTTTTTTTTACAAGTATGTTGCAAAGAACCTCGAATCAAGATAAACTAAGTGCTCTATTAATTGAGGAAATTGCCTTTCTGCCGCCAAGCTGACGAGGAAGTTTGTTTTTCATATAAAGGGACGGTTTCGTATCTGTGCTTTCATACCCGTGTCATGCACAACACAGATGAGACATATTAATAATCGCTACAGCAGTGCAGTGCAGTGCACATTAGGCAGTCGAGGAGCCGCGTGCACTTTCGAGAACTGGGGATCGCTGAGGCGTAGGATAGACTACGGTCCGTTGTCGAATACTTGGTTCTAAATCCTTTAAGAATATATCTATAGTGTAAGAAGTACGCTCTACCCGAGGAAGAGAGGAAGACATATCGTTAGAGTTGTGACTTGAATTTCTTCCACCAGGACCGGAAAAATGACGATGGTTGGGAACGCGGCGAGACGAAGGTATTTGCTTTTTAACTTAATTGTTAACTTTTTTTAAGTTGCTAAGTCCCGATAACATTGATAATAAGTGTAGAGAAGTATCACGTGATACTCCATACTAATTTTTCCGTTCAGTAATATTTACGTCCATCGTCACTTTTGGCTTTTCTCCGACATAACGCTGAAAGCAGCGTTATAACGAATATAATGTTCTGTCCATTCTATACCGGTACTTAGAAGATAAACATACACTTTTTAACTCGTTAGCTGACATAAATTGAATTTAGAACCGAACGAACCGACATGTAGACTGGCATGTACAAATGGTTGGCAAACATATGAATATGTTCGATAAATGTCAACTTTTCAAAAGCTATGTTCTACTTTCTTTTCTTACATTGTAAGTGTTGGACTCTGACACCAAGTATGGCTAGAATGAAGGGAAAAGGCCGGGTTGTCGGACACTTGCTGTGACCACCGTTATATACTTGTCTTTGGAAGGCATTTAGAAGTGATACACATAAGGAAGAGAATTCGTGAATGGCATCCATAAATTCTCCGCTATGTATTTGATTGTGTTCCTTGCTCGTGTGAGCCATGCTGTGTTCACCCCATACTAGAATACGAAGGCAAAATTATATTTTTTAATCGAAATCTGATTATTTTCTCGTTATTTCAAAATTTTAAAAACAATTTCGAATTTCTTCTCGTTACTGCTCTTATTTTCTCGTAATTCTATTATTTTCTCGTTGCTTCGATTAATATTTCGTAATTTCAATTATGTTTCTGTTTCTAATTATATTTTTGAAAATAGATTTTTCGATAAAATAATTGAAATTAGGAGAAAGTTATCGAAAAAATATTTTAATAATTGAAATAACGAGATAAATACTCGAAATTTCGATATAAAAAATATAATTATGCCACCAAAGTTGCAGCATTAGGCTTTCGTGAGGCTATGGTCGGGTCTTTTTAATGATGAGCTGGGATTATTGTTTCAATATTTCATCATACATTATTTTCTGGTTTTTAATTTTTGTTTATGTTTTATGTCTAATGAGAGGGAACAAGGTAAATAACATAACAATTCATGCCGGTTACGTTGTACATGTAAATGTTTAAAGTAAGAATATTTTACGTCAATTAATAGGTCTTCAGCAACCCATGCTTGCCATAAAAGGCGACTATGCTTGTTGTAAGAGGCGACTATCGGGATCGGGTTTTCAGACTCGCTGACTTGGTTGATGCACATGTTGCTGAGTGCGGCATTAAACAACAAACAAACAAACAAACTTTTATTGAGGTTTCCTTTTTTGTTTATTTCTAGCGCCAACCGCCAGTCTGGGGCACTCTATCAAGGCCTCAGCATGGCTCGGGAACTTGGCTTACCAGAGAACCAGCTGCGAGCTGCTCGCGTTCAGAATGTTCCCGATGAGATCAAAGCCCTTCCGTACTTCTATGCTAAATTCGGTGACAGCAAAGTCGTAAGTGGATTATACATAATGTTCATAACATAGAAGTTTTTTTGTTTTTAGTTAACGTCCCCCTCCGTACTCACTTATATTCCAGTTATCTGAGACGGCCTGTACACTCTAAACCCAAGTGTTCCACTTCTGAACACTAGACAGAACACATGGATGTAACACTTTTAGAACGCGTCCATGTGTTCTGAAAATATTCTGAACGTTGATGTTCTCGACCCAGAACAGGAGTGTTCTACAAACATATTTAGAACGCTTCAACGTGTTCTGACGATGTAACGCTTTTAGAACGCCTGTCAAGTGTTCTGGACCGAGATTCAGAACACTACACGTTCTCGGACACGTACTTCCACATTACTGAAACGACAACTCATCGTGTGTGTCGAATACAATTTACCCGATGTTTTTCAAGGTGTACAAATTTAAACCATACACCCATGCATATTATCTGGCATAAAATCACACGGACGAAATTCTGAACTGCAACCATGAATTCTTTATTACATTTGTTTGGGATGATCATGGATATTCAAGTCACTTATGAGTCAGAGTTCTTCATGAAAGATTACAAACTGTCGTGTAGCAAATTGAAGCATACTTCCATACTTAAGATAACTTAAGTTTCAAGCGCATGTACTTCGCAGATGTTTCTTGTGGGTAAATATCCCCAAAGGACGATGTTCGTAACAGCGACATGACCATCGCAGGCTTCAGGAAACTTCATGTGAAATATGACTCCCCAACATCCTACAACACAAAACATTTATTTGATCATAGTCATATAGTTATCAAACTCGTACATATTACATAGGACATTATAACAAATGTTCGTTAGTAAACCCAAGATTACCGTGACATTTGTTTCATTATTTATAGGTTGCAAAATGTTTTGCCAAAAATGTCATTTGACTAACAAAGTTACCACTTACTTGGATAAAGGTTAGAGCAAAATATACACAAGTACCTTCTTATTTGATCTGCAAAACCTTGTGTCTTTTCCTCCTTTGTGTAGACGTGTGCCCTGTGCAATAATTTCCATGGATGGTACTGATTATCTGCAATGCACCCTGAAATAGAAACAACAAGACTGATTCTCTAAAATATTTCACATAAAATAGCCAAAAACATGTCCTATGAAGGTTTAGTTCTTTTTGTTCATTACATACTTACACTACTGTCTGCTGATTTCGATGCATTGTCGATGCTTGCTGATCATGCCCTCGGATCCCAAATTTAGATGTTCAGAGATTTGTTGCACGTAGCCCGCTTCGCACTTTCAGGCGATTCATATAGAACCTGAAATATATATTCATTTTATTTGAACATCATTCAAATAAACGGAAACGTTCAAATAGTGACACTTGCAATTTTGATTGGAATTTCAACTCATAATTTATAAATAAAGCGTGTGGAACAATGGCAGAAATGACGGTCAAAATGGCGAGTAATATGTCGTCTGCTATGCGTTTTGTAAGGGGCCGGTTTTACTTCGTTGGGATCAGCATATGAATATATCGCCGAAATATTACATTATTTTAGGTACATATTAAATATGAAACAAAAGTATTCCTAGATGGATACTTACCACAGACACACCTCAGATCATAGGAAATTGTAGCGCCAAATACATGCGACGTCACGCCAGTTTCTCACATAACGGATGTGAATCACAGAGCATGGACAGCTTTGAATGCTTGTTAGAAAAACAGAACACCGATGTTCTATTAATGGAACATGTGTTCTCGCATATAACATTATAGAACACAGCAGAACACACGCGTTCTAGGAGAGAACGCAGGCGTTCAGCAAATAGACCGTATAAGTTCCAGAGCACCCATTAAAGATCCAGCTAAAATTAGCCATCAGAATGCCAGTGTTCTGATACAAGTAAATGTCCCCAATGCAAGCAAGTTATTTCCATGTATTAGCAATGAGTTGTATTTCAGTAATGTTTCTTGTTGTATTTATTCAGGCTACATATAAGTTATTATTAACCCAAAGTATGCCATGTTTATAAACTATTTATTATTCATCAAACTCAAAATATAACCCTTCTTATACACATTTTCTGTTTGACATACCAATCTACCAGCCTCTCTTCTTCTCAAAAATAAATATTCCGAAAACACAAATATGATGGTCGAATTTAAATTTGTCTAACAGCATTCAGCACATTATCTCTGCTAATGTGCATGGACTTCTCCCAGGAGAGAACACACGCGTTCTACAACAGATCACAGGCGTTCAGCAATAGAACACGTGCTGCACGAATTAGAACATTCGTATTCTGTGGCAGAACGTATGGACGCGTCCAGTGTTCTATATTAGAACACATAGATTTAGAGTGTAGTGTAAGTGAGTCGGGACCCGACAAACCAGTGATTGATATTATGAACAACGTCCCGCGACGTCGGGTACGATGGCTCCAAATGAACCATGTCATCGAGCCTGACCCCCTGATCCATTAAGTCGCACCTGTGATGATCCGAGTTAGAGTTGATCTTCAGCAACCCACGCTTGTCGTTATAGGCGACTAACGGGATCGGTGGTCAGGCTCGTTGGCTTGGTTGATGCATGCCATCGTATCCCAATTGCATGGATCGATGATCATGATGTCAATCATTGGATGTTCTGGACTCGATTATTTACAGACAACCGTCACATAGCTGGAATATTGCTGAGTGCGGCGTTAAACAACAAACAACCATTAAGTCTCATCTTACGACAAGAATGTTACTAGCGAACATTTCCAACCTGGAATACTTAACGGTGGTTATAACACAGAAATAGTGAGTGAGTCGGTGAGTGAGTATGGTTTTACGCCGCTTTTAGCAATATTCCAGCAACATCACGGCGGGGGACACCATAAATGGGCTTAACACATTGTACCCATGTGGGGAATCGAACCTGGGTCTTCGGCGTGACGAGCGAACGCTTTAACCGCTAGGCTACCCGACCGCCCCTTAACACAAAAATATGAGGTTTAACGTGTGCATGTTTTTCAAATGAACCAGAACAATGTCATGAAAACATGGATGTAATGTTGTTTTTATTTACAAAATACTAAAATACAATATTTATATATTTTCTTTCAGGCACAGAGATACGTTGAGGAACACGCACAGGGGCCAGGCTATTACCTTTTACGGCTAAGCTCGAAGGGAGATAACTACTTGTCGCTCTCAGTCAGGTCGGTTGAAGTTAAAGCGTGTTTCTATGTGCAAATAATTATTGTGTGTTGCAATGTGTCAGATTTCGTCAGGTGTTTTTGTTGCAGTTTCTGTTGCAATGCGTCTCAGATTTTCCATGGACCTCTTCTTCTACTTCCACGCACATTGTCTGTTACAAAGTTGGTTGTGCCTGTTAAGACCACAAACTGTTTCTAGTGGTTGGTTGGTTGGTTTGTTGTTTAACGCCGCACTCAGCAATATTCAAGCTATATGACGGCGATCTGTAAATAATCGAGTCTGGACCAGACAATCCAGTGATTATTATCATGAGCATCGATCCACACAACTGGGATACAATGACATGCATCAACCAAGTCAGCGAGCCTGACCACCCGATCTCGTTAGTCGCCTCTTACGACAAGCACAGTCGCCTCATACGGCAAGCATGGGTTGCTGAAGACCTGTTCTACTCCGGATCATCACGGGTCTGTTTCTAGTGGCAATTTATAGTTTCTCTTTAAAAGCTGATTTAAATACATGTATGTTGCTTTAGCAAATATATGCTGTGGCATTTGTTACAAAGTTTCCTTAACATCGCTAATTTTGTACAATTGAAGGTTAAATTTTATCTTCAGCCACCCATGCTTGTCGTAAAAGGCAACTCACGGGATCAGCTGGTCAGGCTCGCTGACTTGGTTCATGCATGTCATCGTATCTCAGTTACGTAGATCGATGCTCGTGAATTTATAGCCATTTGAAGGTATAATAAAAATCCCAATTTTCGATGATTTTTACTGCCTATCAGTAACCACTTACACTTCAAGACCAATGTCGAAAACCCCTAATTCTCAAAGAAAAGTCCACGCGCATACATTTAAGCTGGCCTAAGTGTGCGCAGTACATTATCTCATGTTCCAAATACATTTTTGAGATCCTTAAGGTATTACGTTTGTGACTTCATACTAGAAACTGGCAGTTTCATCTATTTCAAGGGATTCGTCTTGGGGCTTCCGATACGACCCTATTTCCCAAAAAATATTTGTTGTAACTCGCGGCTGTCCTATGGATATATCGCTGCGGTTTCAATGTTTGGTATACGTTTTCAGTTTTGTGTGTGTTCATGTGGTTCACACTTTGCCATGATACTTTTGACTAAAGTATTTAGGTCACTAGACTATAGACAGGGTTGGGGATCATGAAATATTTTATTCACAACAACAATGTACCCACAGGTATTTATGATTCCTCACTGGGGCGGTCGGGTAGCCTAGTGGTTAAAGCGTTCGCTCGTCACGCCGAAGACCCGGGTTCGATTCCCGACATGGATACAATGTGTGAAACCCATTTCTGGTGTCCCCCGCCGTGATATTGCTGGAATATTGCTAAAAGCGGCGTAAAACAAAACTCACTCACTCACTCATGATTCCTCGCCCTTTGTGTTACGAATGTAGTATATGTATTAGAGAGCTAACATATTTATCTTCTAAATGTTTTACTTCTTATTCTCATAATACTTTGTTTCTCGCCACCAGCATCGATGCAAGCTCTGTCCGACATGTCAACGTGGTGATTGAACGAAATCCAACCCTGAAATACTACATCGTAGAACAGATCAAATTCAACTCCTTCAACGAACTGTGCAAAAACTACAGCAGTCAGAGGATCCGGAACCTGGAGCAGATAGATAACGTCAGACTCATCCACCCAATCATCCACGGAGCTGAATCCAAGGAGGCCTATGCACCCCTGAAAGGCGGAATGCCCAGCACATCCAGAAGGTACTCCGACAACAGCCCTCCTAAAACACCCGATGCTGGAAAGCTTACTCCCCAGTTCGATTTCGGAGTAAGATGCGTGGATGGTCCTCAGCAATCTCGAACTCTTGGAGGAAGGAGACGGTCGGCAAGCAATGCAACACGCCCCCTGCCCAAACCACCAAAGTCCAACAGTGAGACCCGACCCCCCTGCCCCCCTCCTCCGGGGTCAGGAAGCAACCCAGGCCTGTACTACTCGTCCCCGAGGGATGTGGACAAAAACAGGTTCGACGAACTCCGGGATGGATTGATGGATACAGATCTCTGTGAATGTGGTGTGCCCATTTGTGATTCCCAACTCCCCCAAGGCTGGACTCTGCACAAGAGCAACGACCCCGCCTCGTACGGCTGTCTCTTCTACCAGAATACTGAAGGTGAAACAACATGGGTCCTGCCTCTCCATATAGTACCTGGCATCACTGCCAAGATGAAGAACGTGATCATCAAACTGAGCAACCAGAGCGGGAACTCTCCCCCATCAGTGCTGTTCCCGCCGTATCAAGATAAGACGAGGGGACGAGGGGACGGTCCATGGAATGGAGTGAATTCCATGTACGGTTCCTGCAGAGATACGAGGGAATTGGATGAGGATGACTAGGTCCATAGATGCTCCTTCTTCTATGGACTCGCGCATGAAGGCATGCACTTGCTATCGCATCTCAATTGAATGCATTTATGAGAACGTATGATCAGAACATGGCAGTGGACTGGGCGTGACAGAGGGTAGCATTTGTATGATACATCGTTACCCTACAGTAAGTGATACTTTCATCTGAATCTCTTTCCTTGGAAACCAATGACTACACGGAATGCAGGACGTCAGCTTGACCATGTTCTGAGTTCTGGTGAGACACTTGAGAAACTATGCCCAAGACGGATAATGGATTGACTGTTTGTGGGGACATTTATCACTGCTGAACCAACAGAATTGAGGAATATTTCCAGAAGATTCATTTATTTCCATCGTATGGAAACTTCACAGGACAATAACTGCTCAATCGTGTCCATTTCTGACCCGTAAATTATACGTTACTCTACGTCTATAGGTCCATTGGAGCCTCACAATGTATGTAACTGAATGTCCAGGTTATGGTTATATAGCTCAACGGATTGATACATTTAATTTATACTGCAATCAAATGGTTTTTACCATGTTTTCGATATTTTTGTAATCGATAGTTTGGTGTGTAGAGTGGATAGCCAGGGGTGCAGCATAATACTTATTACAGTAAACTACGGTTATAACGAACTCAAAGGGACTACTAATTTTAGTTCGTTATAACCGTAATTGGTTATAAGCATATATACAGCATAACCACAGCATATAGTCGGGACTAAAAAGTTAGTTTGTTATATCCGTTAGTTCGTTATAAGCGTGTTCGTTATAACCGTAGTTTACTGTACTACCTTTGATGCCCATCGACCGTCGGGTAACCTCAGATGGAGGCCTGAGATGTTCTAATAATTCAATACTGTTGGCAGACATTTTCAGGATTATTAATTTAAGTTCATGTATTATGGGTATTTTATGACTCGATTGAAAATATTTTTGCAGGGATATTCTTAGAGGAACGGTTACACAATAGGCGGTTTGTATAACACTTATGTTTGCAATTTGGTTATTCTAAAACTGATTCATTCTTGACATTCACTCATCCCGGAAAACGTGTGATCAGTTGATGACGTAAGATACCATTGGGACTGGATTTAATACGCAGTTCGTGTATGATCCATATATTTGTTTTAATTTAAATTTAGTTTCAATTGAAAGTCAAGTCGAAGTTAAAAGTGCTATTTCTCAGGAAAATGTTTAATAATAGCACATGTAAATATTTCCTTGTTTCATAGAGAGCTATATCACGAGATGGCTATACGACATGGAAATACATTTGACATGTCCCTCAAACTACATGCCGTTTCCTGTGACATATATCACACACCGCCGGCAGTAGTATACTCAGCATGGTTAGAGTGAGTGAGTGAGTGAGTTTGGTTTTACCCCGCAATATTCCAGCAATACCACGGCGGGGGACACCAGAAATGGGCTTCACACATTGTGCCCATGTCGGGAATCGAACCCTGGTCTTCGGCGTGACGAGCGAACGCTTTAACCACTAGGCTACCCGAGCGCCCGCATAGTTAGATGTTACGCTGTGGCAGCCATGCCACATCTTGAAGAACCTTCCTTCAGTTTCGGTAACCACGAGGCAGCAATCTGTAAACATAAAGATCCCTAGAATGAATATAAAATAATCTGAATATAATGTTGGAATAAGATACCAAAGACTCCTATTTCATTACATTGTTTTGTGTGAAACGTCTCGGGATTTGTTATCTAAGTAAAACCTATATTTTTGTAGATGAACAACACCCTGCTACTATATGATGTTTTAATATTTAAAGCATTTTACTTTTTATTTGTTATATAATGTACATAGTTGCATATTTAGTTTTAACAATTTTTATATTTGAACGTTGAAATAATGTATACATAATGAATTGAAACATCAATTTTTTAATAACACATATATGCTTTAATATATTTTAAATTTCCTGCTTGTTGACATAACCCCCAAATAAGATTGAATTAAGAAGAAATGTATATACTTTGAGATGGTTTTCACCCAATCTCATTAAAATCAGTTTTTAGTTTTCGCCTCTGCAAAACAAAGATCTGAGGACACCCCATTACAGGCTTCGTCAGAACGCAAACTTTGTCCGACCAATGAAATGAAAGTCGAGATTAGCCAGTCAGAGAGCAGCTCACTGGAGCTATACGGTACTGATTTAAAACTGACGACTACGCTTTGAAATTTTTTTTGACAAATTTTCTGTACTTACAGTGTGAAAACTGAACAAAAGAACATTCTGGAATGTTTATTAGATGATCTAGATTGTATGCCAGTACATCTCACGTGCCATGCAAAGTCTGTTCCGTTCAATGTTTAACCCATTGATGATAGACGAATATTACAGTGAGCTAGCACTATAAATCGGCATTAGTCCGGACTAGTACAAGCAGCCACACACACACACACACGCACACACGTGCATGCACGTCGCTATATAAGTGCAATCTTGGACGCGACGTTAAACCCAATTTCACCTCATCTTTTTTTCTACTGCTCAGATTGTTTACAAAGGGCAAAACTAAGTTGCATTGCTTTTGCTTCTTTTGTTCTACTAGGCGCCCAGTTTCAAAGGGTCTGAACGATGCTTTCATATTTGTAGTTTTCCCTGTAAATATGTTCGTCCTTGTATCATAATCGAAACTCTGGGCAGAGGCAAAGGTCTTCACATAACTGTAATAAATATTTCCTGTACATCAAAGTCTTGATTAGCCTTGAATCAGCCGTGTACAGATAGACTCTGATTGTGAATTAACCTTTGATGTTGTGTACATGGTGAAAATAAACTGTTATATACACGTATATCCCCCTCGTTTTTCAAGCCGTTGTGGTGGAATTTGTGTGCAGCATGAGGCGCCGTGGCATCGAATCCTAGATTTGCTCATATAATGATTCTTGAACCATACCCATGCTCGTAGGTTTCACTAAAGTGGTAATCGTCTAAGATCTGCATCACATAACCCTTTCCATATCCCCAGGTTCGATCCCCGACATGGGTACAATGTGTGAAGCCCATTTCTGGTGTCCCCCGCCGTGATATTGCTGGAATATTGCTAAAAGCGGCGTAAAACCATACTCACTCACTCCTTTCCATATCAATAGAAATCTCTGCATAAAGCAGAGTCGATTGTATGATTCCGACTACATCTAGATCATTGGTTCAAGAATCACTATCAAATAGTCATAGTACCAGGTGTTGGTGAAAAGGTGTGCGTATCCTGCCCCACCGGTGGCACCCATCACAAACACATGCAAAGGCAAGTCAATTGTTCTGGGGAAAAACAACCGGGAACATATAGTACAAGTCCAAATAGGGAATTGCATGGGACATCATTTTTGTCACTGACGAGACAAATTTGGAAATGTCCTCCACATGTCTGCCATAAACTTTTTGAAATCTTTACTGAGGCCTTGAATGTTGTGACCTTGATAAACTCAAGCAATCAATGAAACTAGTGTTTTAAGACGTACCAGAAAAAGTGAGTGAGAATAAATATTGCTTAAACAGCATCAGCGATATTGCAACACTTTGTGGTTGCCAGTTACAGATTCGTAGTATGTATGATCTTAATAAGGGAATAAATATTACATATCAGGCCATAACGAAGCCATGATTTACACGGGGCGGTCGGGTAGCCTAGTGGTTAAAGCGTTCGCTCGTCACGCCGATGACCCGGGTTCGATTCCCGACATGTGTACAATGTGTGAAGCCCATTTCTGGTGTCCCCGCCGTGATATTGCTGGAATATTGCTCAAAGCGGCGTAAAATCAAACTCACTCACTCGCTCATGATTTACACAAGTCAATTGAAATTGGGGAAAAGAAACAGAATGTACCATGGTGAAATCATTTGGTAATATACACCATTTAGTAATATACACCATTTGGTAATATACACCATTTAGTAATATACACCATTTGGTAATATACACCATTTGGTAATATACACCATTTAGTAATATACACCATTTGGTAATATACACCATTTGGTAATATACACCATTTGGTAAAACCAAACCCTATTATTCACAGATACCTTTAGAACATTGTTCTTGGCTCTGTCAGGTTGTTTTGCTCAGCTGATTTATAGCGGGATACAGCTACTGTAATATATACACCTAGAAATTAATTAAGCACCCCCTGGTTTTGCGACCATATCTGTACAACATCCAGGTATCATTCGCGTCAATCCTGAGCTGTGATGGAGAATTAAATGTCTTGTGTAAAAATGACTCTTGACAATGAAAACACAGAGAATGATGTCGATGGTACTGTAATTGAGCAAAATTGATAACCACGACAACTGCGGATCTTGGAAGTTCCATGATCAGGTATGGCCGACCATTACTGTCCAAAAACGTTAATTGTTATCTTACAAAGATAATCACAATCCTGAAAATTAGTAGCGAGTGTAACCGCCCTGTACCTGGATGACAGATTCTACCCTTCTCCCCATTCCTCCAGTGAGTCTTCTGATACCTCTCTGATACTGCTGCCTCTCCCGATGCAATGCAGCCTCTAAAGCTGCCACATTCTATCCTGGTCGATCCATTGCCAGTAGCTGATGTCACTAATATGTCCAGTGGATTCAAATCTGGACTGATAGCGGGCCAAGGCAAAGTGTCAATAGCGTGTCCTTGCAGAAATGCAATCAAAGCACATGAACGATGGGGAACACACGTCAAGTGGCAAGTGCATGATTGTCAAAATATGGCACAACAACAGTTGGCTGGTTGGTTTGTTGTTTAACGCCGCACTCAGCAATATTCCAGCTATATGACGGCGGTCTGTAAATAATCGAGTCTGGACCAGACAATCCAGGGATTAATATCATGAGCATCGATCCATGCAATTGGATACATACATCAACCAAGTCAGCGAGTCTGACCACCCGATCCCGTTAGTCGCATCTTACGACAAGCATTGTCGTCTTTTACGGCAAGCATGGGTTGCTGAAGACCTATTCTACCCCGGATCTTCACGGGTCGGCGCAACAGGACTGGGGCTGTTCTGGATGTAACAATCGCCGTTAAGATTGCCTCGTACGGTTCCCATGTCCAGTTTACAGTCATGATCATGAGTGAGTGAGTTTGGTTTTACGCCGCTTTTAGCAATATTCCAGCAATATCACGGCGGGGGACACCAGAAATGGGCTTCACACATTGTACCCATGTCGGGATTCGAACCCGGGTTTTCGGCGTGACGAGCGAACGCTTTAACCACTAGGCTACCCGACCGCCCCTCATGATCATGAGATATTGCTTCCCACATCAATACGGAGCCTCCATCATACGGGACTGTTGTCACAAAACCGTATTGGCCCATCGGTGATGACGTGCAGCAAGAATCTTCTCGTATCAGACCAATAGATCCTTCGCAACGTCCTCAGATTCCAATGACTTCGAGCCAAACACCAAGCCAATCGAAGTCCCTGATGATGGGCAGTTGACAAGGGACGTCTGGTGGCCCTTCGTGACTTCAACCCAAATGATTTTAGCCGGATTCGGGCAGTTCTGGTGGACAGATGCCTGTAGAGAAGACATTGTTTTTTCAAAGCTTTACTCGTAGCAAAAGGTTGTCGCCTCACCAGACGTGCTGGAGCCGTCTTCTCGTACAGCTGTCTTTCAGGATGGCCCTGGTTGTGGACGGTCCTTTACTTCACGTGTATGTCGGTTTTTTCTTACTTACGCGTCTGCTGATGACAGATTGGGTATAGTCAAGTTGTTGTCCAGTGGCCCTGTGTGACATACCTGAGTCACGCATGCCAATAATTTGCCAACGGAGTGCCTCTGACTTCCCCCTGTGTGCTATGGTTAAATGTGCTGACTCAACAATCGGACAATTGCCATGGTCAGTTATTGTCATGACTATACTCGAGATCGACAGCCATTCTATGAATGAGTATCTTTAAAAATTGATTTTTTATGAACGGGTATACTATTCTCTGTTTTGTCAGGGGGTGCTTAATTTATTTCTAGGTGTATATATGCTCATTTGAACAGTCACTATTATAAGGTCAACGTTATATTTCAGGGCCCCGTTCCACAAAACGATCTTAGGGCGAAGTTGATTGTAACTCACTAAGTACACGATCTTAAATTTTGGTTACGATCGGCCGCCCGTTCCACAAAGCAATCTTAACTAAGAGAGTTGTAAGTTAAGATCAAAATGCTAAGTTGCTCCGGACCAACTTAGGATGGCTAAAATCAATCTTAAATAGTGTACCATAACAACAAAGTTAGCCATATTTCGACAATGCGTCGTCGGCTAAACATGACCAAGGGAGGCCACTCTTAGGGAAACTTTCGTATCTTCATGGCTGAAGATTCCGATCTTTGTTAAGATCGGCTACTTAAGAACTTGTAAAGTTACAATCGCCCTAAGATCGCTTTGTGGAACGGGCGTAAACTTTAGCTAAGACGATTTTATAATCGACGTAAGTCTCTAAGATTGATTGTAGTTACGACCGCTTTGTGGAACGGGACCCTGGGCATTATCATTTGCAGAGTCCCGAGGTCTGCCCTGAGAAGGAGGCCGGTTGAACAGACCCAATTTTCAAAAACACAACTCTGGAAAAAGTTAATAAAATTATACCTGTCATCTGTTTGGTTCCTATGTTACATGCACGGATGTGATCAAATATGCGGAAAAATAAATTAGAAAGGATTTTTCTGAAGTTGTGTAAGAAAATCCTAGGCTTTCATTCTAGAGCCATTAATAACGCTGCATATGTTGAATTGAGTAGATATCCTTTATATATAGATTTGTTAGATTTATCATGTACTGCTTCAAACTATTCAATTTCAGTAACAATGTAATGAAATTAGCACTTATGAATTTGCACTATTGTAATAGTAGTAACTGGTCTTTTTTAATTATGAAATCTGCTATGTAATCATGACAATGGCCGTGTAGGGATAAATCCTGCAAGTTTTAATCAACAATCCCTTCGCCCTGTATTAAAACAACGTCTCTAATCGATGAATTCATACAGAGAAGGGGAGGTGGTATACTACAAAGTAAGAAACGTGTGTTTTATTCTGAATTGAAGTGTATATTTGGTTATGATCTATCTTGATATCCTTGCTCTTAGTCGTTTATCTTTTATTTGCTAATTATCTTAGCTTAAAGTATCTTTCACCAAATTCAAAATTGAAAACTTCGGTTTCGTGTTGTATGTAAATCAAATGTCTGTAATTGAAGATGAGCGTCATTTTGTGTGTATTTGTCCACAGCATTAGCATAACAGAGTTAAACATGTTGATCGTTATTATTGGGTGAGGTGAGGTGAGGTGAGGTGAGGTGAGGTGAGGTGAGGTGAAATGGGTTTTAACGTCGCGTCCAAGATTATTGCACTTATATAGCGACGTGCATGCATGTATGTGTGTGTGTGTGTGTGTGTGGCTGCTTGTACTAGTCCGGACTGATGCCCATTTATAGTGCTAGCTCACTGAGATACCATGCCGCAGTTTAACATGGATGCCCCACTCAGACACAGTTTACTGACTCCGAGTCGACCAGTCCTTGTTTTAGCCCCATAATGCCGAGCGCCAGACAGGGTAACAATAAGTACCATCTTTTAACGTCTTTTGGTATGACGCGGCTGAGGATCGAACCCCGGACCTTCCACTCTACCATTAGACCACGGAGGCGGTCTATTATTAGGAATAATCTGAATATCTGAATATCTGAATACAGGCTTGTCCTCTATTACAGTTTAAATCAGTTCTGTTCTGTTATAACAAGCATAAGTGAGTGAGTGAGTTGGGTTTAACGCCACTTTTAACAATATTCCAGTTATA